GATTCTAATTAGGCAGAGTCAAATGATAAGAATTTATCATGTCATCTTTCAACAAACCCTCGTATGTAATAATGATGTCTCTCTCATAATTCCAAACCGATAAGATCTAGTGTGCACTGTTTACATGTCACAATATCTACTTATTCACAAGAGCTAGTGTGCCAATACAAAACTCTTACCTTGAGAATGCCTTGCATCAGGAGCAGAATCAGACACTAGATTTGAAGTCTCTCGGCGAAAATGGGAACTATCCTGCATAATAGGAGTGCCAATTGAAGGGACAACATCACGGTCTGGCTTTTGAAATACAAATGTGGTATATAAACCTGAAACAGGGAAATAGAATGATTGACATAAGAAAACCAGTGAAGAATGCATAGACAACCCACTAAATAGAGGCAAAGTTGGCAATTCACCCAACACATCAAAAGACCGGGCAAGGAGTCTTCCTCTGGGATCCACCAGATTTCCACCACTGCTGAGGAAACCTGCAAATTGTGCTCTTTGAGCAGATTATGACACCTTAGACTTCTAAAGTTACTCATATAAAGCAGACTGTTATGGAACAGACTGTGTATAACTACTTTTTCTGATAAAAAATAAATGAAGGGTACTCTAACAAAATAGGAATCCATTAATAGCGATTAGAGAATCTCCAGATCCTTAACAAATCTTGATGGATCAAAAGAAAAAATCAACTTTGTTCAAAGTTTCAAATTTAACTTGCTCTTTGAGCAGATTATGACACCTTAGACTTCTAAAGTTACTCATATAAAGCAGACTCTAATAGACTACATATATTACTACTTTTTTCTGATAAAAATGCATGAAGAGTACTCTAGCAAAATAGGTAATACAGAATCTCCAGAGCCAACTCAACAAATCTTGATGGATGAAAACGACAAGTCAACGTTGCTCAAAGTTCCAAATTTAACTTGGACCCTTCTTGGGATAGGCTACATTGGGTGGACAAAACAATTTGGAGTGATCTTTTAAAACAAAATAATAAAAAAGCTATATCAATTACAGCATGCAACCCAAGGTACAAGACAAATTTGAAGATAAGACAACATTGAGTTACTATGTAAGTCAATGCAGCCCTAAAAGTGTGTATAATAATTGATGCAAACGGAGTAATGATGGCTATGAATTATCACCATCATCATCATCAAAGCCTTATCATAACTATTTAGGATCCCACTCAAATCCCATTCTATTATTCTACTCTATCAAGGTCATACCCTCAGAGGGCCATAAGTCCCCATATCTTTTCTCATTAATTTCATACATGTCCTTTTGAGCATTCTCCATGCCTTTTTAGAGCCTTGCACTTGAACCAAGTCACACCTCCTAACCATTGTTGTACTTGGTGTATGTTGCACATGACCAGCCCACCTCAGTCTACTTCCCTCATCGCCTATTGAAGCCACACCTAAGTTCCCTTGAATATATTCATTTTGAATTCCAGCCTTTCTTGTCGTGCCACTTATCCATATCAATATCCTCATCTCAGTTACACTCATCTTATGGGTAATGTTGTTTCTTGACCGCCCAATATTCTGTCCATAAAGCAAAGCTGGTCTCACATCTTTCTTATAGAACGTTCCCTTCAGCCTCATTGATATGCGACGACCACATAAAACTCTGGACGCATATCTCTACTTCACCCACCCTGCTCTAATTATATGTTACGACATCTTCCTCAATCTCTCCATTTTCCTAAATTATTGACTCAAGTATTGAAAATATTTTCTTTTAGGTATTTCTTGGACATCAATCTTAACTACTTCCTCGTTTCTACTCCTATTATTACTAAACTTGCATTCCATATATTTTGTCTTAGTTCGCCAAATTTTAAAACCTTTAAATTCTAGAACATCCCTCCAAAGTTCTAACTTTGCATTGACGCCGTTTCTAGTCCCATTGATCAAGACTATGTCATCTGTGAAAAACATACGCCATGGTACCTCATCTTATAGGTGCCTAGTTAACTTGTCTATAACTAAAACAATGAGATATGGGCTCAAGTTGAACCCTGATGTAGGCCTATTGTCACTGAAAAACTTACTTGTCTCTCCACTAGTTGTCTGCACACTAGTTAGCGCTCTCTAGTATATCTCTTACCATGTCAATATAGCATCCGAAGACTCATTTCTTTTCCAACACCCACCAAATTAAATCTCTAGGTACTTTATCATAAGCTTTCCTCTAAATCAACAAAGACCATATGGAGGTCTTTTCCCTTCTCCCTAAACTTCTCAATCAATTCCCTAAATAGGAAAATCGCCTCATTTGTTGATCTCCCTAGTATAAAACCAAATTGAATTTTTGATACACTTGTTTCATGCCTTAGTCGTTGATCAATCATTCTCACCCATAGCTGCACAGTGTGGTTCACAAGTTTTATCCCTTTATAGTTCATTAATGTAATTGCTGCACCTAAAACAAACTATGTAAAATTAGGCATGCAAAAGCAAGGTTCAGAGGTAAATACCCATCACATAGGCAGCCAATGCAAGAATGTTAAACAGGTTAATCACGGTTTTAAAGAAATTAGTATTCTAGAGTAAAATCAAGTATTACATGCTTATTAACTTCCAAAACTTCTTTATAGTTTATAAAATTCAGGTGTCCCATAATAGCACAAATAAACATCTATACCAAAGATAAAATGTAGAGTTATTGAGTCAAAAAAACTAAATAAAAATAAAATCTAGCCCTAATAAAAGCGCTGTGCCAGAATCTATCCGTAAACCTGCAGGCCACACCTGCATCCCAGCTAGTAGATCATTACATTGGAGAATCACTTCAGGTTCAAACTAGACCAAGTCTTATCAGTTTTGACTACCATCCGATAATCCCAACCCTAATGAAGAGAACTTGGTCAAACATATTACAGGGGTTTTGCTACTGCAGTGACATTCAGGCAGCCAAATTAGAAGGATGTTAGAGAACACTCAATTGGCCAGCAGGATAAACTAGGATGTTGTTTAAGTGCTTTGATATGAGAATCCTTCCCAATCCATCCAAAGAGGTAAATATCTAAAATATCATGAGGTATATAATCATGAGCGCAACATGTGTGCAAGTATTGGTGTCAGAGTCAGAAACAGTACAGGGTGTTAGATTCCCTATGCCACAAAAAAACAAAATACGCACATGCATGTTCTCATAGAAGTTAATCGTAAAGATACAGCCAAGATCATTACAACTCAAAGATAATTCTACATCGCATAAACTGCCAAACATAAACATGACATTAGTAGTATCTCAAATAAAAAATAATATACTGCAGTGAATCCATTAAATTCTTCTCAGTTCAAAAGTGTCCACTCAAAACAAAATAGAATATCATGCTAGTGACATATTCAATATTCTGCGAATAAGTAGAATCCAGAAAATAAGAGTTGATAGGGATGTTGATTAAAGTCTGACATCAATTTGGCACCCACAAAGAAGAATCCAGGTAACATCATAAAGTAGCTATCTAAGAGCACATAATTATATCAGATTTATTCAGATTATGCCAGAGGATGATAATAATTTTTCTACAGCCTTTAAGAAATTTAGAAAATGAGTAAATGGAAAGCATGTTACCTATTATCGTCATAAAATTCTGTAAGGTTTTGAATCTCCACATATTCCAGGCCAGCTTCTCTTGCCAACCTGCAATTCCGGTATATCTATTAAGTTTCTTAGTGTTCAAAAAGTGCCAGGTACAATACAACCATAAGAAGACTGAAACTGCTGGCATCAAAAGAACTAAGACTAACTATGAATACGCTTCATATAACCTAATGAAGCTTGGAAAATGCACCAAGCAATGAGTTTCAGATGAAACATCTCCTGCAAACTTTAGCTGATACTTCTTTCCGAATAATGGGAACCTGAAATATTAATATATCATTAGGTGTTTCCAACCTTACTAAATTCAAACATGGAAATCAGGAAAGGGAGTTCTGGTGAAACGAATAATGGTTTTACTGTGTTTGCATACTTCTCATCCTCAGCTTCAAATGTAATGGTGTAGCTCTCTGATCTAATACAAATTGGTAGCATGCTCTTCAAATTAATGCCCTTATTATGCAATGCTTCAATGTTCTTTTGATATTTAGACCTGAAGATTCGAAATTGACATGGACAATGATGCATCAAGCAAATATGGTTAATAAACATAAATCGATCCTCATTCAAGGTATCCCATTAAGGAAAAGGCTAATAGATCCTAGATTACGTCCAAGTTTTATTTTTCTTTTTATTTTGCCAGACCATTTCATTCAGAAGCAAATAAAAGGATAAACCACTGAAAAGCATAGCAAAGAGGTTGAAATTTAGAAAACAAGAAAAACAGGCGATGCTGAGGAAGCATTCCCTAATCTAGCGTTAAAATTCTCTAAATACAGTAGAGGGTGATACACTGCAGACATTGCCAAATTAGTAGACTCCCATTATCTCCTCTTAAGATGTAAAATAATGGAAATCAAGCATTAACACAAGTATTTATTAAAAAAAAAAAAGTATTCACACAAGTCAAAAAGTTCTGAAAAGATAGCACTAGACAATAATCAGATGGAAATGTAAATTTTTTGCAAGTGGGCCCTAAATGGTCTTATTTCACTGTGGAGCACTACACTGCTCATCACTTCTGATCTTGAGTAACCCATTGAGCTTCCATCAAATTCAATTTTGAAAGTCCTAATCGCGGCACATTCCCTCACATAAGGGGCAAAACCTAAAACCAATGGATCTAAAACCTAAAAGGTTTGTTTGGGCTTGGTACAAGCAGAGCGTCTAACATGATGGTTCCGTGATCTGAGGTGGTCTTTGGGAGGGAATAAGAGATGGTTTCTAGAATGGAGATTTCTTACTCTATGGATCTCAGGAACCTACCTAATTTGGTCAGGATTGGTTCTGAGGCATGGTTTGACCGGGTGAAGAGGACATCAATAAGCTGTTTTTTGTCGATGAAGTCTGAGGAGGCCCTCATGCTTGCTGCTAGCCTAGAGATATAAGGAAACTAGAGAAGAGAGAAGGGGTGGTCACAATAGGGCTACATTGCCCACATGTCCCTGTCATACTTATTTATCAGGACAAATTATAAAAAGTACAAAAATGCCCCCAAGTATGGGAAAAGGATGAATAAGTCCTTAAGGACTTAAGTACAAAAGAAATAACAATAGAAAAGCCTTTGACATTTACAACAGTAAGGTTGTCAAAAAGGAGGATGGATTACTTTTGGTTAGGCATGTGCCTGTTCTCTACATTTTCTTTGGGTAGGTCAGCTGCAAGATTCAGACTCGAGAGGTAGTGTTGCATTCATCAAAATTGTAACCAATCAAGCCCAAACCCCGATCATTTTCTCTACATGTGCATGTCCAAAGTTGGCCAAGAGTTATAGAATAGCTAATCAATATAAGCAGGGTATTTGCACAATATACTTCTACAAAAGCAGTATATTTCTACAAAAGCAGTAAATGTACTCCAAACTTCATGTTTGAATTTTGAAAACTGATCCTTGTAACCCACCCATGACCTTCTGCCTGACGAAAGATCTTTACATGGATATTGACAGTATGACATGACTCACACTATTCAGTATTCACCAATTTAAATTGCAATTAATTAATATGAATGTCCAGATTAGAAATGCAGATTATAAAACATACCAGATAGTAGATGAATCTGGGGTAATACCAAAAAAGAATCCCCCTGGTTTCAGAATAGAAGATACATTCCGTAGAAGACTTTTTGCTCTCTCCTCAGTTTCAAAACACAACTGTGTATACAGATGTTTTTAGCAACAGATAAATTGAAGAGACAATGTAATATTGAATCAATTTGAAACACGCTAACCTAACCTGCAAATGCTGCAGACAACAAACAAGATCTGTCGGAATGCCCTTGTCTTGCAAAAATAGTTCCAAGGTTTCCTGTCCAAGAGATTAATGCCAATATTTTCAAGTGATAACTTTTACAAAAGGAGATTAAGTTATAAAAATGGTCAAAAGGGAAAAAACCAAAGGAATCAGGTTGACAAAGTTGGCCATTGATCCCTTGTCCCTACAATGTCCACCAATAGACTGTTGTAGTTGCTTGAATTTTCCTTTAGGAGGGCCTAAGGTTACCTGAACTAACAGCTACAAAGAGCACATGATGATGAAAATGGATTGGTTCCTACTATCTAGCAATTGGGAAGCCAATTTTTTAGGATCTTCCCAGCATCTATTTTGGAAGCCAATTTCCGTTAACTCCCCAATCTAACTACATATGTCATAATCTATGAGTGGTCTTCATCCTTTACAGAGAACATGTACTTGGCAGAGATGGTGTTAAGTATATGGTCAAGGAGTGGTGCAAAATGACCAATGTTAAAGGTCGGGCAGGGTACAGGGTTGCTGCCACAAAATACAGTGATGCTACAATACTAAAATCCTATGAACTTTGGTGGGGGAGCGCAAGGCCACGGTTCTCTTGGAATCGCCAAAATCTCTTAGAAAGATCTACATGGATTTGGTGTGGAATGAATACTCATGGTCATGCATATTTCAGAGTAAGGAAAGGGGAAATGATGAGAAAAAACTTTGTACAGATGCAGATACTAGAGCAACGTGAAAACATTTTTCAAAATGATATGGTGGCATCACATACACATATGGTATGCATGCCAATGGAAAATCACATGTAGATTCCTACTCTAAGAGCAAGAATTTGATGAAATAACCCAGTTTCCAATCAAGAAAATATATTTTTAAAATAGCTTTTTCTATCGAACACCACAAATAGAATAAGAGAACATGGATTAGACATTTCACATGGCACCAAGAAAAATTAAATTGGAGAAGATTCTAAATATTGGAGTAGAACAGTTAGAACTATCCATAAAGAGATGGTCAAAAAACAAACCACACAAGGATCTAGCTCACAAAATTCTGCAGTGTATGGTCTACGTTGACTCTCCCACATTTCACGAGCTTCATTGATACCAGAAGATGAAGCATCTGTAAACAAGGTTTTAATATAATGAAGTTCACAATAACTCAATAAGTTATAAGGCCGGATAACCACGAACGAGACAAACTTTTAACGAATTATATGTTTAAAACAGTGCCCCATAAGAACTGTAAAGCAATGAAATCGTGAACAGGGGGCTTCATCAGTGGTGCCGACTGCATATTATAATTTAAAGAGTCTCAGACAAAAATTTGAGATATATCATTATTTGAAGTGAGTGACTTCCGTTGTTCGTAATTCAGCAGAGTATAAAAACTATCAGTACCACTACCACTACATATTAGATTGGATAAGGGTTGCATAAAAACAAAGTTACACGAACAAGAGTGTGTTGCATGCAGGAACAGCCAAAAGACTTTTAATCTTTTGTGATGAAAATTACATTCATAAAGAGAAATCATTACGTGTATTTCTTTCTGATATTCTGAAATACATGAGAACACATCCAGGATAATTATTTTGCCTGAAACTTAAAGAACAACATGAAAACCACATTCTAGTTTTTATGATCCATGGTTCATAAAATGTGTCTCACATTATGTGCATGCACGCATACACATTCACCTGTTGAGACAGAGAAAGATACACATATGCAGAGCCTCGCAGACTTCAAGTTCATCAAAAATAATTATTCTTTACCTTTAAAAACTCTCACTGGATAAAGAAAACATTCAAATAAAGGAAATGTATTATGGAAGAAAAAACTATCAAACTTGCGTAAAATGAAAATCACAACTCCATCCTAGATGGCTAGAGGCCCCCAAATTCACCATATTATCGACTGCTGAGTTAGCCCCTCTGTGCACGTGTATTATTCTATGAAGGACATGATCAAATATTAACAATGTAATATATAATCAGTAGACACACATTCAAATTTGAAGGTCCTAAATCCAGGAATTCAGAGCTTAGAAAACAATCTGGAAATCAAATGAGCATGTACCAATTCCAATGTAGTGACTTATTTGGGCCTCATACCACTTGTCTGTGTCTTCCCCACCACCACAGTACAAATCACAAACCTAAAACCAACATCAGGATTAGAAATATACTAAATTTCTTACAGAAATTATGGGTTTTGCTGCAAAAAATAGCATTGAGTACCTAAAACTAAGACAAATAAATCATGATCGTTGGGTTGAATTTGTGGCATAACTAAGCTTCTGCCTCTACAAAACTAGTGTTTTAAATAATAATAATAATAATAATAATAATAAAATAGAGAGAGTCAAATAAGTTGAAAGAAAATATTACGGAGGAATATGGAGAGACAAAAATCTTTATCAAAGCCGTTTTAGCGAACTCGTAAAGACGATAGTGGATTGATTCAGTTCGGCACACGAACACCGCCATTCTTTCCTCCTCTCTCTCTCTACACCGCCATTCTCTCCTCCTATTACTCCTCTTTCTCTGTCTCTCTCAAACAATCGCTTCTTTACTTTTTGTTGCTGCCCCTGCTGCAGATCAGTAATTTTTTCAAGAGATTTTGCAAAGAAGCGCCAAAGTGCCCGCAACGATCGTGGGTGAAAATGAACATTCTTTTCTCCCAAATAATGTATTACACGTATTTTGAAATTAAATTCATGGCATTTTCCTTCCTTTGACTTAAGTTTATTTAATAATATTTATAACTCTTTTGAACAAATTGTAAATAGCCTACACATTGAAAACGGTTTGAAATTTATCAAAATAAATTTATATTAAATTGTTAAATTTTAAATGTTTTTGATAAAATTTCTCTAATATTACTTTTAGAAAAAACGTTTATATGAGATTGACACATTCAAATGTAGAACGAAGACGCGGCTCTGAATCCTTCGAAAAAAGTTGTTTTGATGTTGAAAAAACATCTAATTGATCATCTCGACATCGAAATTCATAGATATGAGCAAAAAAAATAGATTTCAAATCCTAAAAATAGTTCATCTTGTAACTCATTATCTGGCCTGTCCATTTTCAAGTTTTTCATGTGTTTTTAGGCCTATTTGAGCTATTTTTTTAGCTTTAACTTTTATAATTGGAGATAAAAATAGATTCTCGCCACCATCCTTACGAAAATTACATTTCATGAAAAAATTGAAAGGTGCACCTTAATCTAACTGTTTAAGGTTACAACCTTGTGCAAACCCCACTCTTATTTTAATAATGTTATATTTTCCTTTAGATTAGTAAATATAAATTTAATGTGAACAACAATGATGATGTAAATTTGTTAAAAAATTATTAAATAACAAAGTTGACATGCTTCATCTGAACAAATAAAATAAAATAAAATAATAATTCAATAAAAAAATAACCAAATTACTCTTACAAGTTACAGACGGGTATTTTGATTGTTTTATTTCTTTTAATTGATTTTTTGTGGACTTTATGTGCACGTGATAGTGAGAGTATGAACACCCCGAATTTGACACGTCTACAAAAATGCTAGAGGCAATAAAGACAAAGTATGACTAAACATCAGAAACTCACATTCAACTGCTCCTGGAGCAATGCAACTCCTTTAAGATAAAGGAGGTGATAATGTGGTAGACTATGTAAATAAAATGCTCGTCATGGCTAATGACCTAGCTAATATCGGAATAAATTCTCGAACGCGTGCAAGTTCCCACAATTCTAATTCCCCTTTCATGAATGATGGTAACAATAACATTTCGGTTGAATGCTAAATCATGTACTATAAGAGACCTCCCCATTCAATTAGCCTTAAAGCAATAACACAAGAATAAAGATAAACAGTTGTGAGCTCTTGCTTACTTAAGGTCTTGCCAGATCTAGCTAATCCAAGCATAATAACCAAAAAATTCAAGGATATTTTAATAAGAGTAATAAAAGATCGAAAAATAAGGGAATCAAGCCCCACAACCATGCCACTAAACAAATTACCACTAAAATGCTTCATATGTGGTTAGACATGTCATGCCAAAAATTGTTGCCCAAATAAACGGAACCCGCAAAATTTGAAGAATAACATAAATTGGAGCAAGAGTTAATGAACCTCCTGGAAGTTCATTATTTCAATTAGTCCCCATGTTCCTCAAATAGATCTCTTAGTTGTTAAGAGGGTTGCCCAAAGGCGGTATATAAGGCATACCCAGTAAAGCTTACAAGTGAATCAGATATAGAGATGGCAACTAGTGTTGAAGTTTCTGTTATTAGAGAACTTCAATACCACGATAGGTTTGTGTAGTCTCAAAGTGCTTGCTTCAAACCATGACATCAAAGTGTGGTGGGTAGATTCAAGTACTAACCAATACATTGCAAGCTCCAAGAGCCTCTTTATGAACCTCAAAGAAATAAAAGCCAAGGAGAAACGCATCTACATGGGGAACAATACCTATTGTGATGTATTAGGTGTACGGACATATATATTATATGTAGGGACAATCGATCTTGGACTAATTGATGTATATTTTATCCTTAGTATGAGGCAAAATGTTTCATATGTTCCTTTGCTCATGCAAAAGGGTTTTGAAGTTGAAAGTGTCAATCAAAAAACGTGGTCAAATTTTTGTGTAGGGATACTTGGTTAATGAGCGTAGTTAATAATAAAGTTTCCCTTTTTTTTTTTTTATTTCAATAATATACAATTGGTATCTTAGGCTAGGCTGCATAGGAAAAAATAAACTAACTAGGTTAATAAATAAATGTCAATCCAAATCTAAATAATATGGAATTTCCAACTTTGCCAGCACCGTTTGTTAAGAAAAATGACTAGGAAACCATTCAATAAATGGGATAGAACTAGTGGATTATAGAATGTGGTCCACTCAGACGTTTGTGGGCATCTCAATATTAAAACTTATAAAGGAATGTCATATTTCATCACTTTAAATAACAAATTGTTTAGGTTTGAAGATGTCTACCTAATCCATCATATATCATAACCCTTGTAGATCTTTACAAAATATAAAAAATAACTAGAAAATCAATTGAGTATGAACATCAAAGTACTTGAACTGACAAGGGAGATGAATACATATCAAAAGCCTTCGACATCTTTTGTAAATAAAAGAGAATTAAAAGACATACACTATTTATATGTCACAACAAAATGGTATAGCTGAAAGTCATAATAAAACTCTCTTAAAGATGACTACATCCATGATGACTCATGCTAGTCTATTAAGACTTTTTCGGGATATGCATTGAGTACACTCACTTATATGTGTAATAGGGTTCCAATTAAGACAATATAACTTAAAGAAATAGGACTTAATAGAACATGTTTTAATTCAAGGGAAAGCTTTTTATGTTCCCCTTGCAACATAGAAGTTCTATCCTCCCCTTTATCCAACCGTCCATTTTTAATGGAGGGCTAAGATTGCCCCAATCACAATGTCACATATCTACATTATTTTATTTTTAAATTTTTTTTCTATAACATGTTTTGACACCAAATATTGGACGTCCAATCCTCTATTAAACCTGCACTAACGAAAAATATAAAAAAAATATTTTCAAAAAAAATGACCAAAATACCCCTTAAATTTTTAAGGGGTATTTTGGTAATTTTTTATCACAAAATTATTGTTAATTTTTTTTGTAAGTGCACCTCAATGAGAAGATGGAACGTACCAAATTTCACATTCAGAAAAAATGTATTAAAAAAACTAAAAATAAAACACTTTGAGACGTCGGATCTAAGATCAAAGGTGAGTGGCTCTCTTGATAAAAAATAGCGGCTGGATGATAGAGGGAGGATAGAACTTCCATGTTGTTGGGGGAACATAGAAAGCTTTCATTTAATTCCACATCAATAATGAGATGAAATAAAAAATATAACTCTAGTTTATAATTTTATAGGATACCTTGAAGATTCGAAGATCTATAGATTTTATCGTATAGATAATGACTCATTAAAAGCAAATATGTTGAGTTCTTAGAAGACCTTAATGTATAAAACCTACCTCTAAAAGAAATAATGATCCACTTAAGATTATAGGTGATTTAGGCTCATCGCCTACAATGGATATTGAAGACTATAATCAACGTGATGATGTTGAAGTACCAATACATCCTATGCTAAATGGTCAAAAGAGGTCTAGAGCTTCTTCATCTTATGTTGATGACTTTTATACGTAAATGCATGTGGAATAACTAAATGAAATTGATGATCCATTTGACTTTAATGATGCAATGAAGTCACAATAATCTCAATAATGACTCAACGCTATGAGAAAAGAAATTGATTATATTGAACAAAATATAGTCTATGATATGTTTGATTAACCCTTAGATAGAATAGCTATAGGTTGTACATGGGCACTTAAAATCTATTGATAACGCTATGTTAGTAGCAAAGGTTTTACCCAAAGGGAAGGAATCAACTATGTTGACACTTATTCTCCTATTGCAACGTTTATATCTATTAGGATGATTTTGACAATCATTGCTCACTATGGCCTAAAACCATACCACATGGATGTAAATAGTTCATTTTTTAATAGTGAATTAAAAGGAACCATTTGCACGAAGCAACTCGAGCGCTTCATAAGTAAGGACCAATAAAATAAAATACATAAATTAAATAAGTCCTTATAATGTTTAAAACAATATTACAGACAAATGGTATTTAACATTTTATAATTTCAAATGGGATACAAAGTAAATAGATTGGACTATTGTATGTATGTTTTGAAGAGTGGGAGTAAATTCACCGTATTCTTGTTATATGTTGATGGTATCTTAAAAATGACTAAGGAGACTAAATTATAAATTCACTATATTCTTGTTATATGTTGATGATATCTTATTAGCTAGAAATGACTTAAAAATGATTGAAGAGACTAAATTGTAATGTGACCAATGACTTTGATACAAAAAGTCACAATCATTATTGATTGTTATATTTAAAATCGGGTGGTTGAGGATGCGCTATTTTTTAGGCACAAAGTCCAAAATAAAATTTGTCCAACGTTGTGACACGCTTTCATTTATTAGTTTTCATATCCAATGGCTAAAAATGCTTGTGATCTCTTTGCAAAGAATAAATTGTCTCTAATATACAAGCTCATTTTTAAATATCGCTAAAAAAGAAATTTATGCTGATTTTTCAAATTTTTAGAGCATGTCTATTTTTGGATTACCGAATTAAATTAAGAAAAATGGTTTGATAGGGCTGCAACTCTCTCATAATTCATTGAAAATTGCAATTCAAGCATTAGTAAACCTTTACATCAATCATCTTAGCATGAACATCATGGTTGTGAAAAAACATAAGATTTCAAGCTCTAAAAGAAAAAAATATCTTGTAACAAATTATTTAAATTGTCTATTTCATCCAAAAAATAAGTATTTACAAATCCGCAAGATCAGTTTCATTTGTTTAGTTTCGAATTTGAAAATTGACGGGTGAGGGCTTATTTTGTTTTCATAAAACCCAGGCTTATAGAACCCTCATCCGTAAATTAAAGACACCATGTATCTCAAATTCTGAATTTGAAGTACTCATCAACTTATACACGAGTTACACAAAAAAAAAAAAAAGAAAGAAGAAAACAGAAAAAGAAAAAAAAGAAAAGAAAATAAAAAAAAAGCAGCGTGGGCTTTCAAAATTAGAGAAGCCGACAGCGGCCGAAAATGGTTGGGTTTCAGGAGGGGCCGGTGAGAGAGGCGGTGGAGGCGTCGGGCCTCTTGGTGGAGGAGTCGATAGTGTCGAGCTCGGCCTCCTTGTGCCTCAGGAGGAGGCTCATCCTCTCATTTTCTAGCTTATTCCTTTCGTTCTCCAGCTTCAGCCTCTCCAGCTCCCTCTCCTTCTTCCCGCTGAATTTAGCCCACTTGAACCTCTGTTTCTCCAGCTCCAGCGCCTCCGCCTGGAACCTCACCCTCTCCTCCTTCACCTCCACCAGCTTCCTCCGTATACACTCCCTCCCCTCCTCCCCACTCATCATCAACCGACTCATTGTCGTCCCCATCGGCTTCCTCTGCCTCTTATTACTCGATCCCCACTCCTCCTCTTCCTCCTCCTCATCATCCTCTTCGTCTTCCTCATCTTCTTCATCATCCTCTTCCTCTGTATCTTGATGCTGCTGTTCGTCACCGCCATTCATGCGAAGGCCCTTGCTCGCCTCCATCTCTATATGCTTGGTTGTTTCCGCTGAGTGGAAGCACCTCTGCTGCTGCTGGGGCATCTGGTGGTGAGGGGTGTCGGTGGTGTCACAGGGCTGCTGGCCGGCGCAGCTGCTGTGGTAGGCGCACATCTCCCTGAAGAAGAGGTGCTTTGAGTTCAGGAGCTTCCTCACCTCCTCCTTCATCTTCGACGAGAGGTGGTCCATGGTTTCGAGCAGGCTCTGGTTCTGCACCACCTTGCATGCCGTCCCCTTCCCCAAAATGTCGTTCACCCGCTTGTACCTCTTGTTCAGGTCATTGAACTTGTCCTCGCACTGCTGTGGTGAAACGTAGAACCCCTTCTCCATCATTGCTCTCGACACTGACTTCCACTTTCCCTTCTTTTGGAGCATTCCTCCTCCGCTGCCAAGAATGGATTTCTTCTTCCCGTCCCCGCTGCTGCCCTCCCCTTGCTGTAGGCTACAGGGGTCATCCCCGACAAAGAAGACAACCATAATGAGGAGCTTCACCATGTTGTCTGTCCACTTCATCCTCTGCCACGGTGACACCCGCTTTCCCCTCCCATCTTCTGCTCCGGCATCCTCTTCATCGCTCGGTCTCCCACCACCACCACCCCTGCTGTTGTTGTTGAGTAAAAGGTAGGGGGCGTGCTTGATGGGGGATGCGAGATCATTGTCGAGGGGTGCCGAAGAAGCCATGTGAGAAGCAATCTGGAGTGGATGCGTGTTATGCTGATGCTGAATATGATGTTGGAGATGGTGTGAGGCCTGCTGCTGCTGTTGTTGGTGGGGATGCATCTCCAGCCCTAGCAGCCCAGATGGCATACCTCCTGTTAACATCGCGTTTGGTTCCATTGTTTTGTATTGTAAACCTAAACACCACCCTTTCCCTTCAGGAAATGCCCAATTTGGTTCTGCTTCTCTATGAAGCACAATGAAAGAGATCAGCAACGGGGATATACTAAAAATTGAGAGAGAACGAGGGGTATGTGGTACAGAGAGAGTGGGAATCTCCCAAGAGAGAGAGATGAAATTTGGGGAAAAGCTCTCAATTGTGGTTGTCGCAGTGGATTAGAGCCTGATGGGTATCAATCGGGTTTGTCGCAGTGGATTAGAGCCTGATGGGTTTTCTGCAGAGCATCCATGGATGGGTTTTGAATCTCGTGAGATCCCAACTTCGAGACCACTGGGCTTACAAAGTAAAAGCTCGAGAAAAGAAAACGGCGATAGATAGAGAGAAGGAAAGATAAATGGGGTGCTCTGAAATGTGGCAGAGAAGAGAAAGAATAGAAATACGGTGGTGATGATGGCGCAGCAGCCGGTTTTGGAGGCAAGCGGATTTGCACATTTCTTGTCACTTGGGTTGCCCATGGTTTCGCCACCACCAAACCAACCAAGTCCACAGGTATCCATTTTACTCCTATAAAACCCGACCCCTAAATCCCAACTAAAATTAAGAAATTCAAACCATTTGTGGGGCCTCCGCTTTTCGTCCCTTCACGGTAATTTCAACTTTCTCAATGGCTTTTCACGGAAAGGTCCTGTTAATTTATTATTTAGCTTGGTAACGTGACGGTTGCTTCTCCACTTATTTTATTGGGTGGTTGGTTACTTGAAATATGGGGGAGGAGGAGGAAGAAGGGTCTCCTTCGCTGCTTCGTGATAGAGATAAGGATTTAGGGTTTTCTCGTCTCTCTCTCAGAGCTGAGATCAGGGGTGTGACTCTTGTGGAAGTGGCTTTGGGGGTGCTGAATGCTGCAGACCCATGGGAGAAGTCTGAGCTGGGAGAGGAGGCCGCTATCCTCTGGTTTCAAGGCCACATTTCACAGTGATAAAGAGTTGCCTGTCCCTGATCGTCCCGCCAGGCTTTCAAACGTCCGGCAGTGTTTCTTTCCGAATGTTTGTGTTTAGGCTTGAATGTTGATGGCTCCTTCTCTGGTTTCAAGGCCACATTTCCCTTCCTTACAATTACAGTGATGAAGAGTTGCCTGTCCCTGATCGACCCGCCAGGCTTTCAAACGTCCGTAAGTTTGTCGGCAGTGTTTCTTTCCGAATGTTTGTGTTTAGGCTTGAATGTTGATGGCTCCTTCTTTGGTTTGTGGTGGGTGACAATGTTACAGGTGAGGCTGGTGGCTCCCCATCTCATGCCCAAGCTTGGCAAGGCGGGGAGCTTGCAGAGCTGGCAAGCCGTTCTTCACAGTTTGGTCCATACTGAGAGCTGGGCTATTGATTTATCTTGGGTGGGTGTGTCATTTACGAACTTATCATGTTGGGCATCTTATTCTTTCCTATATTCGTCATAAGTGTTTTCGTAGTACTTTTCATTGATTAGTTGCTTGTTATGAATTCGGCTGTTTAAGATTGGGTGTCTGCATTTCATACTCAGTAGTGTGGTGTGGTGCATAAATGCAGGATATCATAGCTCGTTTTGGGAGGCAGGAAGGCATGCCTCGCCCCTTCTTTGACGACTTTGTGAAGGTGGCACAGGATGAAGGCCGCCATTTCAGGCTTCTTGCAGCTCGTCTTGAAGAATTGGGAAGCTTTTATGGGGCACTACCTGCTCATGACGACCTATGGGATTCGGCCAATGCAACCTCAAACAGTCTTCTAGCACGTCTTGCAGTCGAGCAATGTGTGCATGAGGTTAATCTTCTTGTGTCCCATTATGACTCTTTTCTCTTTCTTTGAACTTTCACCCCCTTTATTTTCCTTCCAATTTGGGATTTCTTCTTCATCTGTTTCCTATTATTTGTGAATGATTCCTAAAGATTTAGTTGTTCTTTGCTGTGAAGTATTCCTTCTTGCCCAATTGGTTTTCTTCATATTCATGCTTCAGACTCGTGCTTGTTTATAATTTTTTTTTGAGAAGAGTTAACTTTATATTAATGTAATGTAATTGTACAAAATTAGTAAATTTGTAGAAGTGTGTAAGGCAGCCCACATGCGGGTGCTCAGAGTACAAAAAGATAGGAAAAGAAATAAAGCCATTAACAAAAAGTAAGTACAAAACTTAGGCCAAAATCGCATTGTAGAGACTGGAACTTTCAAGGACTCCGAGAGGAAGGGGGAAAAGGTGCTCCTACTATGCTGGAAACCAGGATTGGGGTAGGCCAAGAAGGAGAGAGTAAAGTGATAAACGATGTTGGGACAGAGGGGAAGGAGGTAGAGGGAAAAGACGAGACAAAGAGTTGCACTAGTCGTTGAGCCAAGTTGCGTTAAAGGCTTTGGGCCCACCGTACAGTCGAACACCTTGAGGCATACACCTGCAAAACAAAAGTGCTGCACTTCCTGCCAGTGGTGTTTGGTATAGGGGCAAGGAAAAGAGAGTAAAAGAGGAGGAGCAAGAGTGGGAAGAAAAGTGAAAAGAGAATTAGTGGCAAGAGAATAGAGTAAAGAGTATTGAGAAACGAGAAGGCAGAGGAATAGAAGAGGAAGAGCAAGGAGGCAAGGACGGAGGAAGCGACTAAGAAAACAAGAGAGAACCAAGGAGAAGGTTAGGGGCAACTGAAATACCTTAGAGGGGGTTGGGGGGGCGGGGGGGGGGGGGGGAGGGGAGATGAGAACGATGAAGAATGAGATAAAAAAAACAATAGGGAAGAGAGAGCATTTCATAGTCTTTTTTTGTAAAGTGGCAGAAATTGAAGGAGCTATATTGTTGATTGCATAGTCTTTTTTTTTTTTCCTTTTGTTATTTTTATTTTTGGTGATATAGTAACCGAGAGAAGTTTAGAGAGGGAGAGAAGAGAGGACAGAGAAGGGGGATTGAAGCTGAGAGAAAAGAGAGGAATTAGGGAGAGTTTAAGTTATAACCCGTAGTTGTTGGAAACACCTAGGAACCTGAATCGTTTTAGGAACCGAAATTGCGGAATCGCGGCCGGCTAGAAGTTTCCTGTCTTAAGAATCGTTGTCCGTACAATAGGAATCGCTAGGAACGAGATTCCTAGTTTTTGATAAGCGTGTTTCGACCGAAATAGATCCAAGTTTCATCCACCTATGGAATCGAGATTCTGTCCTCCTTGGATTCGGGATTCCCATCCCCCTGGAATCGACACTCCAGGATTCAAGATTCTTTAATATGCGGAATCGAGTTTCCGACATCCATGGAATCGAGTTTCTGACATATGTGGAGTATAGATATGTTGTTGTTTCGAATCGTGATTCTAACATATTTGGAATCAAGTTTTTAAAATATATAAATCATAGATCCATGCCAGTTTGAGATCAAGATTTACAATAATATGGACTATGGAATGTGTTTGACGACTCCTACTAGGAATCAAGATTTCATTCTTATGGAGAAGGAAGCCACAAGCACATATTGAGCCTCATCAACTTTAGAACCTAAATTGGATGTCTCTTATTAGAAGGTTTCCCGAATTCTAAAGTGATTGTGTTGACTATTTAACTTATGGTCATTATATACAAAAGACAAGTATTCCTAAACTGTGATTTTGACTTCATTATTATAACAAAATAGGATTATGTCTACGCCATGGTTTTACTTTTAATTGTATGTGTTGTATTTACTAATTATATTTTAAATTTAAAGTAAAGGCCATCCAGGGTGGCACAAGTAAAATAATGAACCCTGCAACCACTAAAAGCATTCGATATATTTGGGAACGTCTACCCGCAGTTAATGGGTTCAAGTTTTCAAAGATGTGTTGGATCGAGATTTCGAAATTAAGGAATCCAGTTTCCTTGGTTCCGATAAATGGTTTCTAAAGATGTGTTGAATCGAGATTTCAAAATTAAGAAATCAAGTTTCTTTGGTTCCAAAAAAAGGTTTCTAAAGATGTGTTGAATCGAGATTCCGAAATTAAGGAATCAAGTTTCCTTGGTTCCGAAAAACGGTTTATGTGGAGATTCTTTAACGAAACCGCGGAATCGGGTTTCAGAACCGGAAACGAGAGGTCGTTGGAGAGATTTTGGTAACTATGTTATAACCTGGAGGTGGGAGAGCCGCATCTTTTGCGAGCCTATCTGCTGTTGCATTGGCTTCTTTGCGAATGTGTGTGAAAGTAACAAGTGGCAAGGAGTTGCAAATGACGGCAATCTGGTAAAAAACATGTGCTGGGCGCCATGGAGGCTGGCTAAGTTTTGAGGCCCAAAGTATTGTGTCGTTAGAGCCGGCCTCTACTAAGACCCTTGTGAATTGGTGTGCTATTTGAAAAGCTTTTTTAGACCTTTAAGTAAAGCCAGGGCTTCCGCTGTAGTAGAGTCAAGAGTTCCTAGGTGACTTGAGAAGGAGAGGAAAACTCCTTCGCTGTTGGCAAGAGTGCCACCAAAACTCGAGGGTCCAGGATTGTTGAGGGAAGAATCATCAGTGTTAACTTTAAGGAAATCGTATGGGGGAAGGCTCCAAACAGCCCTAAAAGTAAGTGGGGTTGGGGCGAGGAAAAGGAGGCAACCCTAGTTAGCTCGAAAGTTGGTAAGGAGATTTGTAAACAGGAATAGCCTTGGCCCATAATGAGATCAAGGCCAAAATTGAGTCAATGATATGGGTGGTGTTTCTTGATGTTCCCCTAAAGATTCTAGAGTTCCTCTCTAACCAAACAGACCAAAGCAAAGCCATACTAGAAATCCGCCATAGCATGTGACCACTTTTAGGGTAAGGAGGCCCAAACATTATTGAGAAGAGTTGAGGAAGAGAGGCAGGGGTGACCCATTGTAGGCCGAAGAGCTGAATGAGGGAGGACCATAAGGGGCCATCTCACAAATAGGTGAGAAATATTTTCCTCATCATTAAGATAGAGACTGCACCGGTTGGGCAGCGCAATGCCACACCTTTGAAGTTGATCTAGAGTGAGGACTTTACCATGGAGAAGAGTCCAAATGAAAGCTTGGACCTCAAGGGGAGCAAGGATGGCCCATATATTGTTAAAGAGGGGAGAGGGGTGTAAAAGGGGGAAGGAGGGAAGAGTGGAAAGAGGAAACACTGAAGACCCCAGTTGGGTTGGGAGCCCATATCATTGAATCTTCATTTATTAAAGAAGACAAGAACGAGGTGAGGAGAAGGAGGAGGGAAATAAGGGAGCTAATCTTAAATTCGATCATATTTCTCCTAAATATAGGAGTCCAAATAAGGAAAAGCTTATGTGTTCCACATAAGTAGCCACAGTAGCATCCTGATCATTAACAAGGAGGAAGAGAGAGGGGAAGAGTTGTCCTAGAAGTTAGTCTATCTAGACCTACCCCCTATTTTAAATCTAATCAAAGTTTTAAAGGCATTGTTGGAGGACGATATAGATTTCCAAGCACCAGAGGCACGACGCAAGGGGGAATAGGGAAGCCATCCATCCTCTCAAACTCCATATTTAGCTGAGATGATTGTTTCCAAAGAAGAGGGTGAGGGGACGTGAATCTCCACCCCCATTTCCATAATTCATGAGGGTTAACTTTTTGATGCTTAGACCACCACACTTTTTAGGGGTGCAGATCGTATTCTAGGCGACAAGGTGGAATTTGTGCGGTTGTGCCCTTCGGATTTCCCATTCCAAAGGAAATTCCGCATAATTTTCTCTAATCGATTGGCAAATAGAGGATGGAACTCTGAAGAGAGACATCTGGTAAATAAGAATGTTGGCAAGCATTGCTTTGATGAGGGTGATCCTTCCTCCAACAGACATGAACGTACTTTTCCAGTTTGCTAACTTCCAAGAGAACTTATGTGAAATATTGTCCCAAAGGTGTTTGTTAGGTTTACCTAAGCAGAGGGGAAGACCCAGATAAAAGGATGGAAAGTGTTCACAAGCTAATAGATCCGCTAGAGATTGAATTTCAGTTTGCGGGACACAAACTCCTAACTATTTAGTTTTGGACAAGATGACCTTCATCCCAGTAGTAAGTTCAAAGCATTTTAGGAATAGCCAAAAAACTTTGAAGTTGTGGGGGTTCGGCCCCACAAAAAATGAGGGTGTCATTAGCATACAGAAGGTGGGAGATGACGGGGTTAGCTCTAGAGGTTTGAAATCCAATAAGGAGACCCTGATCAAACAGTCTGGAGATGGATTTAGAAAACAGTTCAAATGTGCTTGTTTATAGTTGACTTGCAAGTCCCTTTTTTTCTAGATAAAGAGCATTGTTTAGGCCAAACCAACTTCATAAATTGAGCTGGGCTAGCCCATATGGTCCAAGCCATCACAAAATGCTTTGTTCTATACTCTTCCTCTCTGGACAGCAGGGAGGAGTTCCACGGGCTGCAATAAAGTTGATTATGCACTTCCATGAGGAAACCCCACAAGATTTTTGGATAAGGAGTATTGAGATTTATGGTGGTGACACAAACCACCATATTCATGATTTCATTCCCCTCAAGATATTACGTTGCAAGAGGAATCCATGTTTAATCAATTATCTTTGATTGAACAAAGGAATAGAATCAAAGAGTAAAACTCCGCATTAGAATATTCCATTACTAGTCAGTGCTCTTTAGAAAAGTCCATTGTCTAACCTAACATAGATGAAAGTTTATCTAAAAGTCTGTTATATTTAGGAAGTATCGGAAAGGGTCCATATATTTACAAATTATGGAGTTCTAAAAAATAATGAGTTTGTTTTAGGTATCGGTTAGAAAAAAAGCTTGCTTGCAGGACAAGCAAAGGAAGAATAAGTCTCTATAAAGCAATGGGGTACATGAGCCA